ACCAGCAGGGCAGACCAGAGCCTCGCAGAAGCTCAAAACAGGGACCACGAGGCATAGAGCACACCACGCGTACCACCCCAGCGTCCAAACTCCCAAGACCAAATCAGATCTTCAGCTCCCGAAACCCCCTAACATCAACCCTCCCCACCCCATTCCTCGTCCACTCCCTCTCCCCCTCCTTCTCCACCCCAGCATCCTCCTGCACCTCCCCTCCCACGCCCCTCACCCCGGCACTGCGCTTAAACCGCCCTCCGGGGATGACGATCTTCCCCGCCCCCTTCCCCACCGCACCAGCCGCGCGCTGCTTCGGCAGCCCCAGCGCCTTGCGCTGCCGCCGCGTCAGGGGGCGCTCTCGTGGCGTGGGGGGCACATGCGCAGGCAGGGTGTGGTTCGTGTTCGCCCCGATCTCGGGCTCGGGGGACGAGGCGAGCGAGGAGAACGCGGACGAGGTGGTGTCTCCTGGCTCAGCGTCTGCTTCGTCCGCGTCTGCATCGGGCGAGGACGCAGAGGTGGTGGTGGACTGGGACGAAGGTGGCGAGAGCGACGGGGTGTCTACATCTACATCCATGTCGACATCTGCATCTGCGTTTACCGCGGCCCCTCCTTGACGGGCTACGCTCGGATGGTGATCTGGATCTGGATCTGGGTGGGCACGGGAGTGCGCCCGCGCGCGCTTCATGCGCGATCCGGACGACGCGGCGGAGCATTCTGAGTCGTCCCCTGCTGGGTCGAGCTCGAGTGCGCGTTTGGGGGACTGGGTTGCGCGTGTGTGTTGGTGCGGATGGGCGTGGGGGTGTGCGTGAGGAGGCTGTGCGTGGAGATGTTGCTGGTCAGGAAGGCGAGAGTGAGAGTGGTGATGTGAACCCGGATCGGGATGTTGATCGGGGAGGTGAGATGCACGCAGCGGGTGCGGGTTGCCTTGCTGCATCTGTGCTTGGGGATGCGCTTGTGTAAAAGAGGATGAAGACGGGGAGGACTCGGAGGATGGGAATGGGGATACGGCTCTGCTCTTAGGCAGGGGCACACCCGCTGGGTCGATCGGCTCTTCTGATACTGCTACGCCTACTCCTACTGCGGGTGCAGGTGGCGTTGGTGCTGGGCCAGCCGAGGCCCCGCTCCCGCTCGTATTCGCACTCCCGAGCTTCAACGTGACCTTCTTCTTCCCAGCGCCGGTCATGGTTCCTGTACTCGCACTCGAGCTCGTGCTAGTCTCTTTCTCCCTCCTCGCCTTCTCCTTGCGCTCCTTTTTCGGGTCCACCGGTGCAGAAGGCACCACGTCCGGCGCAGGCGCCTCCCGTACTACAGGCAGCCCTGTGTGTGGTCCACGCAGGTTGCGGATGGAGGAAAAGTGCTCCCAGTCGTGATACCTGCATAGATCAGGTTAGTACAATGTGAATATAGGATTTAATAGCATGACCGACTCACGCGACATATATCGTATCACCTTCGCCCTCTTCTTCCGTAGCATCAGGCGCAGGCGTCCGGCCACGCTCGCCTTTCTTGTTCTTCTCTTTCTTCGCCTTGTCCTTTTTCGAGGATGACCCAGGCTTCTTACGATGCGCATTGTCGTCATCTCCTTCATCTACCTCTTGCTCGTAGCCTTCGTCATCGTCGTAATCATAACCATAATCGTCCTGGTACTCATAGTGCTTTTTTGGCTTGGCCTTTGGTGAGGACGGGGGCGACGCGAATGCGGCCCACTCGATGACGTAAACGAGACCTGGTTGGACGACCTTGACATTGCGCCGCGTGAGGTGCGCAAACGCCGAGAGCTCCATGTGGCCGCCATATGTGCCTACAATGTTAGTCAGCACCGCAGGACGCGCATACAGTTAGGCCCAGAGGCACACCATGCTCACGCATACATCTCAGATGCGTCTCCAGACCTCTCTCGTCCTCTACAAATGGTTCATATCGCGCACGGTGGCGCTCAATCCAATCACAAATTCTGGCACGGAGATCCATGTGGCGCGCTGGGGAGCCATAGAGCTGGTCCGCAAGGGCGCGGAAGAGGCAGTTGCCATCGCCGAGTGTGTCGGCGGCGTACAGCCCGAGCGCACGTAGCTGGGCGTTGAGCTGGGCGGTGGAGTCCGCAGAGGAGGTGGCGGTGAGGAGCTAATTGCAAATTGGGGGTTAGTTAGGGTTGGGGTTAGGGTTGGGAGTGGAGGTGAAGGGGGCGAAACGCACACGGGCTTTGGAGGATCGGGTGGTGCGGGAGCGGACTGGATCCGGGCGGGAGAGCGGGTGTCAGCGCGGGTGTGGATGGGCAGAGGGCGGGGGGATCGTGCAGTAACGACATTCATTTGCGTGTGTCATTACGCAAGCACGCTCGTGTGTGTGTGTACAGGGGAATAGGGAAAAGTGACGCACGTTGCGGAGGGGCCTTGGACTTGCGAGAAGAGCCCATGTGGGTGAGATTTCGAGGGAGAGTGTGACAAACGCTGGCTTGCGGACAGATGATGGTCGTAGTCCTCCCTGTTCACTCGTCTTCGGGGTCTTGCAGCGTGCCACGGACCCCGGCCACACCGGCCTCGAGCCGAACACATGCCAAATCGGGCACACCTAGATGATCACACCAAGCCTTGCTCTTTTTCGCTCAGAGTCACTACTTTTTCCGAGTCTCATGGACACTGATTATCTGATTCCAGTCGCAAAATCACCTCCAACTTATTTTCTGATTCAACGCCAGCTGATTGCTGCTGGATCACAACCCAGTGGCAGCAACAGTTGAAGCCTCCAGTCCTCGTTTCATTTTTTGTGATGATCTCGACGTGTCCTTGATTTATCCCATTCAACGTCCAGATACCTCTCTGTGCTTAGTTTCCACTCATGATCCGAGGCCGACCGCACCATCGACATGTATGTTTCATGCTTTTCAATCTCAGTGACCTGTGCTGGGCAGTGTCTATTACCATTCCCTCCCTGCGTGGATTGATTATCAGTAAGTTTCTCAAACATTTCTATATTACATTTCCCTGCGTTACCATACTTGAATATGTCCTCAGTCACCCTTCGCCACAAACCCAAACCTCCACCCCGGTGCCAGTACAGCTCCAATTCCTTACGCCACAATGCAGTGCACGCTTAAGGACGCAAAGGCTAAAAACCTTATACCTCGATCTTTGAACTTAACCTTAACACCTCATCGCCGCGCCGACGTAACCTTTCGATGCACTTAATTATCCCCCATGGCGCGGATCCGACTCCTCCTGCGAATGGGTGCTATAGAAAACCAGACGACAAATCCAAACCGAGTGCAGAAGACCAAAATTAGATAAACCTGGACTGGTTATGCTACCTACCCAGATCGAACGGGTTCGCAGCGGCCTTGTCTGACTCCAATTCATGAGCTAATGAATCCAAGTATTTGGCAACGCGGGATACTTAGGCCCTGTTCTGTAACCAAGTCAGGTAACGATTCCCCTGGTTAACGAAATCAGGACAAAATGATGGAGAAGGGGTCACACAGAGTCACACATTGATCCTCCCAGAAGGCGCTGAATCAGCAACGCCAAATGCGCCCCCGAAGGCGTCGCCACTGTTCATCACAGCAATCAACAGGATGGCCATCCAACAAAGTCTCTTTTTACACTCTATGGCAGCATTTTCATATTTTAATCAACCTAATTTTGTAATTTTTGCTTAACTGAACAATACGAAAATGTCAGAAAAATTTTAGTTACTCTTCGAGCTCGACGTGGACAGCGTCGAGCGCGCCATGAAAGAGGTATGGGCGCCGTGTCCATTAACGGGCCGAAATGTCACACTGTTGGAGGTCCAGACTGTGGGAAATTTGATGAAAGTCGTTAACTGGTCGTTAACTTTGATACCCTGTTGAAACCGGCCATTTTGGCAGGGAAATCGTTAACTGGTCGTTACCTGACTTGGTTACAGAACAGGGCCTTAACTAGACCATGCGGAGGTGCGCAGGTCATGTCAGTGTTACGGCAACACGAAAAAAAAAAATCGCTATAACCTGATCATTATTATATGCCGTGCCGTCTTCTTACACCCACCTGGCTTTACGGTCTCTGTCAGAAGAGCCTGCAGACTGTGCCCAACTCACCTCACCACTGATTCGGAATCGTCAAGTTCAATTCCCTCCTCCTGACGCGATTGGATACTCTCAACTCGCACGCAGCTCGAAGTTCAATAGTCTCTTCAGTCAACGCCGTCTTCCGGTGGACGCAGTTCGGTAGTCCGCGGTGTGAGTCGGACTACCGCGTCGGACGACGTGACAAAAAACAATAATCATAGTTATATCTAACAAACTGAGCACGGAGGAGAAAACTGTAGGAGACTAGAAACGCTGCGTACCCGGGTCGAACGCGTTCGCAGCGGCCTTCTAGACTCTGATGTGTACATATAATGGTACGCTAATATAATATCTGTCTTTTTGCGTCTTGCTGACCTTACGTTCTCAGGCCCCGCCGCAGCACCCTGCTAGTGTGCTCGAGCCAGCTTCCACCTCCCGCCGATTCGGGTTTGCCTTTTCCTCCTCCTGACTTGACCGGCTACTCTCGTTCTCGATATCCAACATTCTACAACCAATGGTGGCCAACGATAAAATGTTTGCCAGTGCTCGTGATCTCAACTTCTTTTCACGCAACGCGGCGAAGTAGCCGATCCCAGATCTACTGTCCCCTTCGCATACGGTCGACGTGGTCGTAGAAATCTCTTCCTCAGCTACGTGACCTCTTAAATTTACCCCAGAAGCCACTTGCCGCCAGTGCAAACCTCCACCCCGATGCCAGTACAGCTCGTTGGAACTGACAGCTGTCGCACGCGGCACAATGTCGAATGGGCGTTGCGCCATAGTGCGTGAGTAGTAACGACAAGCTATCAAGTGAGGCTAAAATTATATACCTTGAAATCTGAACTTGATAATTTATATCAACCCCAAGCTGTCTAGATAGTTTGATCCAATGGATCCTTTAAGCATGCAGTCCACTCAACAGGGACACACGATAATCAAATATAATCGCTATCTATTAGGATATGCCGCGTTGGCGTAGTGGTAGCGCGTCTCACTTGTATCCACGATCACTATCAGAAATTACATGAGAAGGTCACTCGTTCAATCCGGGTACGTGGCATAGCGTCTTAGTGGCTGAACTTTTTTGAACTGCGTAGCTAGTTGATATATATTGTGAGTGGTGTGATAGATGTCATTATGAGTTATGTGTTTACTGTCAGCTCAGCTCAGAGATCTGGCCTGTAGACCTGCACACTCTCCCCATGGTGAAAATATGCGACAATGACATCGTCTCTATAGGTATTTCAGCTACGCCATGAGCCTTCGTCAACGCTCATCAAATTTGGCACATCTGCCACCAGATATGGCGCCGAATCCAGCGCCCAGTAACTGGCGCCGCGGCATAGTGGGAGTGCACCACTCACTTGTAATACACAGGTCTTGTATGGACAGACTTGCTGTATACACAAGAAGCCTGAGCCCACCTGTTCGATCCGGGCACGCCACATACGCTCTGTAGCAGATCTTTTTTGCTTTTTTTGCGGTTCCTTTCTACTACCGTGTTAAATCACCTTTCAGCCTGCGCGATGGACGGTCAGTACTACATCGTAGCATGGCCCCAACCGTATGGCTGTATTTTAGGATAGACGAATGAGCGATGCCAACTGATGGTGAATGCTAGGACTAGTACTCCAGGAGAGGCTGTAGTACTACGTCCACATGGCCCAGTCATTCCACGTTGCTTGGATGCACACATCCATATTGTGCACCATCGGAAAAGGTTGCTGCAGACCCGTTCGACCCGGAGGCAGCACTTTAGTAGAGTGTAGTTGGCCGACAATTTTGCTACTGTCACCGCTACGCGCTGTGCTGTAGCCCAGCGGATACCTTTAGCTAAACTTCGTTTTTTCTTTTCTTTTCTGCAACGTGGTCCTTGTACTATCAGGTTGCAGCGGCGGTCCCTCCCATTCTGAAAGCCCGAACAAACGGTCACGCCAACTCCCGATACCTATTACCCTGTATCAAAGCCGTGTTAGCGTATCAGCAGCGCGTCTCAGTGACACAGTATTGTACAGTGACTTACAGTGTACTTATGAGAATCCACCCGTTCGACCCGGGTATACACGACTTGATGCGGCCGTAAAAAGATAAACTTTCGTATTACTATCAAGCACAATGGCACTGTACCATGGATACCAGTAGCACGCCTGAGCTTGTATTCGCACACCCACTTGGCCTACTCGTTCCGCGCCGCTGGGCAAGGAAAACGGTGCTGCGACTCGTTCGACCCGGTTGGCAGCACTTGTGTTAATCCATTGGCAGTTCTTAAATTTTGAATTTTTTTTTTCTGGACGGGAGGGGTCGAGTACAGGACCCAGGTCCACTGTGGCGGAGATCCAGAACGCTCACCAGACACTAGTACTACTACGCTGCAGCTTGTATTTTTTAGCACACCCATATGGCCTACTCGTTCCGCGATACGCCCAAAGTTAGGGAAAGGGAAAAGGGTGCTGCGACTCGTTCGATCCAGTTGGCAACACTTAATCAAGCGTTGAATTTCAGTTTTTGATTGGATTTTTCATTCTCGATGGCGTCTGTCCTTTATCAATAAGTTTTACATACTGCAAAAATGAAAATGATCGACGGGAGGGGGTCGAGCTCGGAGCACAGGTCGACTAGTATGGCGGAGACTCGGAGCGCGTGGTCGGGGCCATGGACACTGACACTAGTAGCACGCTGCAGCTTATATTCATACACCCACATTGCCTAATCGTTCCGCGCCACTTGGTCTCATCCATCCAAGTCGGAGTCGAGAGCCAGAAAAGGGACTCGGAAAGGAAAACGGTGCTGCGACTCGTTCGACCCGGTTGGCAGCACTTGAATGATATTGTTCGCAGGATATCCATTTTTTTTTTCAATCGTACGGTTCTTTTTTCAGTGCACGTACTACGCTCATCTGGATACGTGTCACTGTAACTCGGCATGGTGCAAGGTGGCCATGGTGTACAGAACCCAGATGGGGTTTCTAGCAGTGACTGTGTGGAGTGTTGTAACGTGTGATACTGATGCCATACTTGCACCGGCAGAGGCCGACGGAGCCGGTCCGCCGGCGCAGCTGAGGTCGCAGCGATCGCAGTCATCGCAGCCATCTCCGCAGCAACGGACGCAAATAAATCCTCAAAACTCAGCGTCACCCTCTAAGCAACAAATATGATTATCGACGAGAAAACACTCATGCATCCGCCCCCGCCCTACGTCGACTCGCCCGGCCTGCCGCCGTTCCCGTCCACCGCCCGCCGCGCCCCAACGCTGACGACGCTGCCGCCGCACCTCCTGCTCGCCATCATCTATGCGACCTTTCCCCAGACACCCCACCCAGACGAGTCGACCCCGGCCCGGCAGCGCCGCACGCTGTACTGGCTCTCGGTGTCGCTGCGGCTCGTGAACCGCACGCTCTACGCCACAGCGATGCACGTCCTGCGCTCGACCCACCTCCCTGCCTATGCCGCCCTCGTCCGCCCACCCTACTCGTCCGATCCCTTCCCGCTCGTCGCCGATTCCGCCTCGACACCCCTGACATCCCTCCAGCGAGAAACGGCGACCCTCGACCGCTTCATCGCACTCAAAGTCCGCGAGGACGTCTGGGCCGATGCGACCGACCTCCACCTGTCCCGCCCAGAGGCCTACCGCGACCTCTTCGACCTCGCACAGCCCCGTGCCCGCCTCGAAGACCTCGTGCGCATCTACGGTATCCGTGAAGGCTGTGTCTGTGTCGGCGCACCGCCCAAGCCACCATCTGCGGTCCCGCAAGGCAGCGCCAAGGGCAAGAAGGACCTCGCGCGGACACCGAGTAACGCATCGACGGCGTCGTTGCGTGCATCGCCCTCATCTACGTCTTTCCTCGCGTCCCTCTTCTCCTCCAAATCAAAGTCGAAATCCAAACAGCCTTCGCTGCCGACCCCTCCTCCCCAGCCCACACCTCCGCCCACCCCGATCTCGTTCCACCTGCTCAGCGTCACCTTCTCCCCGCGCGCCGCAGCCCTCGTCCTTTCCTCCGGCACCCCAGCCCTCTCTGCGTCCCTCCTCGTCACGTCCTCGTCCACGCCCCCAGTCAGGCGCACCATCGTCTCCACCCCGCGGGCGAGGGACGAGCCGCTTGAAGCTGCTGCCAAGAGGCTCGTCAGGGAGTTGAGGAGCTGGCTTGCCGAGGGCGGTTAGGGTGTCTGTATGCGGTACCATTACTGGGTTGGGGAGGGTAAGAGGTGTCGGGCACGCGGAGAGCCGAGATCCAATCATCCGCTTCTGCTCTCTGGCGTTAGTGGTTCACGACGCACGTCTTCTTAGATCGCAGGCCCCACCATCCCACTCGCCCCATGTGTCTACAGTTGGTTCCTAGGTCCAAGGTCCAAGGTGTACATATGCGGCGCGCATCCACACCCTTCCCCATCGCGCACGGCACCAGTGCGTGCATTATACCACCAGCCAAGTGGGGGGCTACCCGCTGCAGTTGTGCGAGACGAGGAACGAATATCATACACGATGACAGCGACTATCGCGTTCCTCTGCCCACGGACATATGGTACTCTGGAATGACATCTCTTTCCCCTGCAGTGTGTATCATACGCCCATATACTCATACTTAGACTACTAGACGTCCCGGCCGCCATGCGCGAATGCGTACTCCCTGCTCTGCTCCTTCTCACCCCCTCCTTGAGTATAGTGTACCAAGTTTGAAGTGGCTATCTATCAATTATCTATAACCAAGTTATTATTAGACTCGTTACCGTCTGTCTACTCTTTGAGGGGGTATTTTTGTCGTAGACAGACTGGCAGATCTACCAGCCTGCTGACAGACAGAGTGTCAGCAGGATGGTTACGAGCCTAAGTTATTATGTATACCCCGCAATGTCATTGTGTACTCGCTCGCATGCGCGATCAATCCCATGCATAATCTCAACTTGTGTTCGACAAGTATACAATACATAGCGTACGGAGTGGGTATCTATCCATTATCTGTAGGCTATAGCATACCCCACGATATTGATGCGCTCGCAGCGATGCAAATACCCGAGCCGAGGCCTGTGCCTGTGCCTGTGCCTGTACGCTTATTAGGCTTATGGTGCGGTTCACTTAGTCACCGCTAAAAGGTGACAAAATATAACGCACCTTCAGATCTCACTCAATTTCTTATT